TCCATTGAAGAATGCTAGTTGCGGACTCTTTGGTCATTATCTTACTGCTAAAATGTTTTGATTTAATGGCTTTTTTTTTTTTTGGTGTTTAACATCTTTCATTATCTTGTTTCCACTTTTCCTGATTCTTAGATTTTTTATACTAATACAATCCTATTATAATGAAATGTTGGCTTCTGTTACACTTGCATGGCTTTGTTTTCCTTCAACACGTTGTTGTTGGTTTATGTTTTGTGACAGAATTTTATGCAGGAGGAAGATAGCCGAATAGAGACTACACGAGCAAGATGTACATATTATCACTTCCTACCTTTTTAACCATTATTTTTTTGTTCTTTTCGCATGTGTTGGTATTCCTGTGAAGAATTGAGTAATCTTTGTTGCTTTGCAGTTTCAAATGTACTCAAGAGGCATGCAGAACTAACAGACCGTCTTTCTAGGTACAGTTCTCAAAATCTGACGTGGCTTTCACTTTTTAGCGTCCTCCATTTTAAGGAATTTTCTGTCAGAATTGGATGCTATATCTTTTTATTTTTTGAATTGTGTGGTTACATGGGAGGTTAAGATATTATTAATAAACGACCTGAAATGGAGTAATAATGATATATGACATATCTACTTATGTGCATTAAACTGTTTAGCATTGTCAGTAATTTTATTATATGCTTAGAAGGGACTACGTTCATCATACAGCGTCAGCATTGAGTCTGTTTGGCTATTATATCTGAGTTGCATCAAATGCTTGATTTTTTGGTATAGCATTTGGATCTGCATTCTGTTGCAGTATTAAAGGAAAAGATGGTTATTGCGAAACGAGTTTAAAAATGACTTGTTAAAGTAATTGTATATGATTGCAATAGGGACTCCGACAAGATGATATTTGAGCGTTTGCAGAAAGAATTTGAAGCTGCACGAGCTTCCCAGACTCAAGGTACTCTAAACTGAACATGCCCATAAATACTACATGTTGATGTACATGCATATGTATGTGGCTTTATATGTTTACGTATATTAATTACACAGTAATTTAATTTATATTCTACTTTATGAAAGAAAACGAAGTTTCATTTTCTTCTTCCTTACTCTGCAGAAATTTATTTAGACGGTGAACAATGGAATGATGGCCTATTAGCTACGATAAGAGAACGGGTATGCCTTTCATCATTTGGTACTAGAATGAAGTATTCCAGACTGCTGATTTTTTATATTTGAATACTTTTCCTTTACATTGCTGATTTATGCTTGCTGTTCTTCTTCTTGGTAAAATTTTCTGGCTGGTTTATGTTGTTAGTTAGTCTTATATCTCATGTTTGGTATTGTCTAGGTGTTAGCTATATTTATGTTTTTAGTTTTTTACAAGGATAATTTTAAAATTGTTATCAGGTTCACATGGAGGCTGACAGAAAAGCAATGCAGGGGGATATAAATATACCAAGTTCCCATTTCCTGGAAAAAATTACATATAGAGCTGGAAATAAGGTAACAACTTCTGTTAATGAAAAATTCTGGAAAGCGTGGGTTGCATTTAAAGTTGGAAGTCATGTCAGCATATTTATGTAATTGGAACTCAGCATGACCTGCGAGAGATCTTCCTATCTTATTCTTATAATATGAACATCCAAAGCAAACTTAAATGATAAAAAATTCTACAGCTTCTTGGGAGAATACCAAAAGAGATGATTCCCTTGATAGAGTATCTAAAGTATTGAGATTGTGATGAGCGGACGTGGGATCCTGTTGTGGCAAGGTTCAAGAGGATGTTGGTGGGATGGGAAAGAAACCTCTTGTTCAAAGTGGGGAGATTCACACTCACTAAATGTACACTGGCCAACCTATCAATTTATTATATATCCCTTTTGATCATCCTAGATAATGTTGCGAAGATATTGAAATCAATTCAATGTAGATTCCTTTGGCATGACTCTAAGGATAGAAAAAAATACTACTTGGTGGCATGAGATGAGATAAAAAAATCAATGTCTTAAGGTGGTTTGGCATTGAGGTTGCTTGTGAAGATGATCATGACTCTACAAGGTAAGTGACTTTGGAGGTTTATGAAAGAAAATGGTAGTCTA